ATCAAACTTAAAACCTCTCCTCGGGGTCACCTCCAAGGGTCCTTGGGTGCCTGGTACAAGACCAGCCCCTATCCTTGATTATCGCGCAGAGAGAGGGATCAAGTCAAAACAGCAAGAGTACCTTGAACATCGCGCAGCGTATCGTGCAGACCATTGATCGGATTAAGCTGAGAATTTCCTATATCGAAGCTCTCTCCAAAAGCTTTAAAATGAACCAAGTTGCCTCGCGAAAAGTTCTGCCATTACGAAGTTATGGCTCGGACAGCGTTTGCCTAGCGTTGGAGTGCTAGCGTACTAGCGTTGACTCGGGTAGCATTCCGCCGTCGCACCGCGTAGAAAGGAAATCCCAGCAAGGAAGGAATTCTCTTAAATCAATTTCACTATCTTCAGGTACAACCAGAGAAGGAATAAATAGTTGTAGCTAGCAAGGACCTTGGGAATCAACCTGGGAACAACCAGGGATGATCCCAAATAATTCCAAGCAACAGAACCAACCTGGCTGGACAAAATAGCAGGTGGTAGGTTGGTGAACAACCTCTGGTTCTGTTTTTCCAACCTGGGAAAATAACAACCAGGTTCAGGTCCTAAAAACAGAACCTGTTTTGTCTTTGCCCAACCAGCCAAATGCTGGTTCCGCTGGTTTCCCCTGGCCCTGTAGCATGCAGATACAGACAAACAACATCCAACCTTCACCTAAATTGTACCCCTATAGTGCCTGCCCTGCTACACTATAGTCAACCAAACAAAACAGTACAATTTCGAGTTGGATAGAACTGAATCTGCGCAATCAAGTAAGCCGAACCGCAAAGCTTCCATCTTGGGTTCCTTTGCGAGCTCGTCCTTTCTGCTTGTACTGTTCATAGCGCGTACAATGTTGTGCCAAAGCACATAATGCGCGAGTACCTGCAAATGCTTCAAGCGAAAATTGCGAAAGCAAACAAACACATCGAACATTCCATTCACACCCAAATGCATTCGCACACGCATACTCATACAAACAGACGGCAGGATGTCGTGCAATGTGAATTTGCACCCAACAGTCGTCCCCCCCCGCAGCGTCCAGTCCCTGTCGTTCCTGGGGGTGCGGGAGGTGTAATTGCAGAAGGTGAGGGTACAGGGGCTGCTGGAGCTAGTGGAGATGGCTCTGGGGGTGCAGGGGATGTGGGCGTGGAGGTTACTCCCGTTGAGGATACGGCAACCTCAACTCGGCGGCCTCGACACACGTCACCTCCTGGCTTCCCTCCGTCCCGCAGTTCCTTTCTCGTTCTTCTCTACGGCCGGTTGCTGCGAAACCTGGGGGTGTTCTTGCAGGAGGTACTGGAGGCACTGGAGGTGTCGATGGTGGAGGTGCTGGTTCTGGGGATGCTGGGGCCAGAGGCACTGGCACTGTGACACCTACACCGCGCAGCGTACGTATCCTGACCCATGAGCAGCGTGTCCAACGGTTGGGGAGGGAGGAGCGTGAGCGGTTTGAGAGGGCATGGCAACGGCAGTAGCAGCAGCAGTCTCAGTGCAGTGTCAGGAGAGTGTAGAGGAAAGGTTACGACTGCAGCAGCAAGTGCAGTTACAGCCGCAGCAGGAGAGAGTTGAGGAGGAGTCACGACTACAGCAGTAGGTGCAGTTGCAGTCACAGCATGAGAGATTAGAGGAGGAGTCACGGCCACAACAGGAGAGAGTAGAGCAGAAGTCCCGCCCGCTGCAGCAGGTGCAGTTGCAGACACAGCAAGAGAAAGTAGAGGAGGAGTCAAGCGTGTAGTAGGAGAGGGTAGCACAGGAGCTCTGTTGGTGTAAGGGCCTAATGAACTCGAGCTACTAAGACTTAATCAAGCTTAAAACCTCTCATCGGGGTCATATAAAGGGTCCTTGGGTGCCTGGTACAAGACCAGCCCCTATCCTCGGGTCCAAGTTTGTTGAGAGAGGAGTCAAGAATGACTTCTCCAAAATAACAAGAGTACCTTGAACGTCGCGCAGCGTATCGTGCGGACCGTTGATCGGATTAAGATGAGAATTTCCTATATTGAAGCTCGCTCCAAGGGCTTTAAAATAAGCCCAGTTGCCTCGCAAAAAGTTCTGCCATCACAAAGTTTTGGCTCGCACAGCGTTTGCCTAGCGTTATAGTGCTAGCATACTAGCGTTGACTCAGATACCATTCCGTCGTCATACCGCGTAGAAACGAGATTTCAGGAAAGGAGGAATTCGCTTGAATCAATTTGAGTATGTCCAAGTACAAACAGAGAAGGAATAAATAGTTCTAGCTAGCAAGGACCTTGGGAATCAACCTGGAAACAACCAAGGATGATCCCAAATAATTCCAAGCAACAGAACCAACCTGGCTGGACAAAACAGCAGGTGCTAGGTTAGTAAAAAACCTCTGGTTCTGTTTTTCCAACCTGGGAAAACAACAACCATGTTCAGGTCCTAAAAAACAGAACATGTTTTGTCTTTGCCCAACTAGCCAAATGCTGGTTCCGATGGTTTCCCCTGTCCATGCCCCTGAAATGTACCCCTATGGTGCCTGCCCTGCCACACTATAGTCAACCAAACAAAGCAGTGCAATTTAAAGTTGGATAGAACTGAATCTACGCAATCAATTCAACCGAACCGCAAAGCTTCGATCTAGGGTTCCTTTGCGAGCTCGTCCCTTCTGTTTGCACAGTTTATAACGCGTACAATGTTGTGCCGAAGCAAACATTGCGCAAGTACCTACAAATGCATCAAGCGAAGAACGCGAAAGCAAACAAACGCACGAACATTCCATTCACACCCAAATGCATTCGCACAGGCATTCTCGTACAAACAGACGGCAGGATGCCGTGCAATGTGAATTTGTACCCAACAAGTTCCGCCCATAGAAGCTGATGCAGTTGCGAACACAGCAGGACAGAGTAGAGGAGGAGTCACGGTCGCAGCAGGAGGCACAGCTGCAACCGCAGCAAGAGAGGGCAGAGGAGGAGCCACAGGAGCAGCAGCAAGTGCAGGTGCTCTAGAGGAGCAGAAGGGACTGCGCGACTTGCTCGACCCTGCACCTGGACACTTGGTTTGTGGCCCTCTGCCGTCCCCTCCTGTTCCCTTTGTTGAGTCATTTTCCTCATCCTCGTGGACTCATCGTTCTCCCCTCGGTCGTGCTATGTCACCTGAGCCCCGTCGGTCTCATTACCGTACGGACGGCCCGCTCTCATGTTCCACCTCCTCCGATCTTACCACAGCCCCCTTGGTCGTCCCTCGCTATGTTTCCCGACCCGTTGCCCAACTACCTTCGTGTCTCCCATCCTGTCGTCTCCCGTGTTGTGTCCACATTGGTCAATCACCCAACTGCACCTTTGTCGTCTGTCTTGGCTCTTGTTAACCCTGTCGCTGGCTTTGCCTCTTCCCATCGCCTTGACTACGTCGCTCACTTGGTGAGTGGTCCTGCTCGACCACTGTTCTTTGGGGGTGCTCATGTCTTTCCTGTTGAGATCCTCGAGGACAGGCACTTCGAGATTGGTTTGCTTGCGGCCGGTTTTTCTTCATCTCTACACATGCTGCTTGCGCGTAAAGGGATCCATACGCCCTTGACGTCCCGATCCGTCGCACCCAAGCCGAGGTGGTATCGGAACCCTTGACCTCGTACTTGATAGCAGCTGAGGAGGCAGGGATGGCATTATATATCCACAGGCACCTATGTCGACACCGTCCCACCACCTGGGACGAACGTCGAAAGTGGCATGTGGCTCTACAAGGTGGAGCGGCCGCCTGGATCTCCACCGGTGTTCAAGGCGCGCTGTGTGGCGAGAGGCTTTAGTCAACGCTTTTGGGTAGACTTCTTCTAGACCTTCGCTCCCACCCCGAAGATTACCACTCTTCGGGTGTTGTTGTATCATACTATTATAATGTGTAGGTTGTGTAGGCTGTAATGTGGTAGCCCAAAAGGGGTACAACCCAATTAGGGTCAGTACTTGTACCAACTTCCAACTCAATGCATTCATTCCTTCATCTAGATTCTGACATGGTATTAGAGCAGGTCCTGGTCCAGGACCGTTTTTTTAGGGCCCACCGAATAGTTCCCTGCCTGGACTGCATTACCCTGTTCGTAGTGCCCTACCCTGCCCGTCGCGCTGCTCCACCAATCGCGCTGCCCTGCCCTGTCCGCGCGCCGCCCTGCTGGCCGCGCACTGCCCTGCCCTGCCTGTCGCGTCGCTCTAGGACCAGCGCGCCGCTCTGCCTTGCCCGTTGGGTCGCCCTAGGACCTGCGCGCCGCCTTGCCCTGCCCAGCGCTTTCCTAGTGCCCGCGCGCTGCCCTGCTCGTCACGCCATCCTGCTGCCTGCGCGCCGCACTCCCTTGCCTGCGTGCTGCCCTGCTGGTCCCGCGCCACCCTGCTCTGCTCGCTATAGGTACTCTCATCGTTCTCACCTTCGATCCTGATGGCCGTCCGATCCAGTTCAATACATGGCTCGATGACTTACTGCTGTACCTACTGAGGGACTCTAGCGACAGCGTTTTGTTGTTTGACCACACGTCTGGAGCCTCTCTCGCCCCTCCCGACACAGCTGACAGTGCGACTCGCTCACAGTGGCTTACCCGTAACGCTGCTGCTCACTTAGCCATTCGCAACCACCTGTCGTTATCCGAACGGGCTCACTTTGGGCAGCACAGGACTGCTAAAGCCCTGTACGTCGTTGTAGTCGCTCGTTCCTCCTCCCCTGCCACTGCTGCTCTCGGCCGCCTTATACTGCCCAACCTCTTTTCCGAGCTGTCTCCCTTTGCCACAGTACGACCTAGTCACCCACCTCCGCACTAGTGACACTCGCTACCCGCACTTCTCGCCAAGTTTCTAGACAAGAACCCTCCCCCCATGTACATCGCTCTCTACTTTATAGTCACTTGCCTCCTTGACTCACTTAGCGCAGTCAGGGACCTCTTTCTCGCCATGGACCCCACGGACCTCACTGTCGACCTGCTCGTGGCACTCCTCGCACTCCCTTCTTTGAGGGGTGTTCCCCCTCCCCCCTTGCCCCCTACTATGCTTCTGCTGCTGTTGTGGACTTCCTTCGTGCTGAGGAAGTCGGGGCTGCGTCTGCTCCTAGTGGGAGGCGCCGCAGCGGCAGGAGCAAGGGAGGCAAGGGTGGTGGGGGTGGCAGCGGTGGAGGCTGTGGTGGAGGCGGTGGAGGCGGTGGAGGTGGCGGTGGTGGCGGAGGGAGTGGTGGTGAGAGTGGAGGCGTTGGTGGCGGCGGTGGTGGTGGATGGAGTGGTGGTGGGAGTGGAGGCGTTGGTGGCGGCGGTGGTGTCGGCAGTGGGAGTGGTGGCGGCGGCAGTGGTGGCGGCAGTGGGAGTGGTGGCGGCAGTGGGAGTGGTGGCGGTTGCGGTGGCGGCGGTCTGGGTGGACCTGGTCAGAGGAGAGGTTCTGGCGGTGGTCAGAGGCAGCAGCAGCACCGTTCGCGTGAGACCCCTTTGCCTCTAGAGCTTCATGAGTGGGGCGTCTCGGGGTAGTGTTCACTGCCAGTACGTCATTCGCACAGGTGACCGAGCTGGTCAAACATGCAGGAAGGTCGGTCATACACAGTCCCGCTGCTTCTCCTGTCTTGACGACGCCTGGCGCGCAGAGTTTCCCGACGCGACTGAGCTTCCCCACTCGCTAGAGCTGCTTAGGCAGGGTGTGGATATCTTTGCTCTTGACTATGATGCTATCCTTGCTGCCATGTATTCTTTGACTGTTATTGCTGAGGGTGACTGTTACCTGTGTATGCCGCCCAAACCAGGTAAAGGGGCTGCTGCTCTAGGTGCTAGTGAGTCTGCTCTCCCTGGTACTGCGCCTGCTAAGGCCTTGCACACCTTTACGCTTGACTCAGGTGCTTCCCGCTATTTCTTTCGCGACAGTACCACAGTCACACCACTCCCTGCATGTGTTGCATTCAGACTGGCTTGCACTCAGACTGGCTGACCCCTCAGGGGGCCCAGTTCTTGCACGCTCCTCCACTGTTCTCCCATGTTCGACCGTTCCGTTCGTTTCGCTCTCAGATCTTCACCTCCCCTCGTTCTCAACGAACTTGATGAGTACCGCTGCCCTCCACGATGCGATGGTCACTACCACTACTCTTGGGGGTTAGCATGTGTCGATCTGCCTCCCCCCCCAACCTCGTCTACCCCTCCCTGCCTTCCGTGTGTCGAGGGGCGGCAGCTCGCCACTCCTCACTCCTCGTTTCCCCCGACGACTGCTCCCCTGCAGACTGTCCTCATAGACGTGTGGGGCCCATCCCGCGTCCGAGGACAGGGCTGCGAGCGATACTTTTTGCTGGTTGTTGATGACTACTCGCGTTATACCACGGTCTTCCCCTTGCGCAGCAAGAGGGAGGTCCTTGATGTTTTGATCCCTTGGATCCGCGCTGTCCGTCTCCAGCTCCACGAGCAGTTCGACACGGACCTTCCTGTCCTGTGTCTACACTCTGACAGAGGTGGTGATTTTGCCTTCGACCCCTTGCGGGACTTTTGTCGTGGAGAGGGAATCCGCCAGTCATTCACGTTTCCAGTCCCTCCGCGGCAGAATGGGGTTGGTGAGCGCCACATTGGCTTATCATGGAGGTCGCTCGTACCTCCATGATCCATGCGGCTGCTCCCCATTTTCTGTGGCCGTTTGCGGTCCGGTACATTGCTTTTCAGTTAAACCTCTGGCCCCGTGTCTCCTTGCCAGAGACCTCGCCTACACTGCGTTGGACGGGGGAGGTTTGCGATGCGTCGCGATACTTCCGCGGACAAACTCTCCTCTCGCGACATTCCCTGCGTCCCTGGCTTTCCCCCTGACGCGCCTGGCTGGCTGTTTTATCACCCCACCTCGCACCGTATCCTGCCCTATCATGACGTCACGTTTGACGAGCCGGTTCCCTTTTACCGTCTCTTCCTCTACCGCACTGCCCCTCTCACCCCCCCCCCCGCCGCTCTTCCTTGCACCAGGTCCTCTTCTGGTAGACCCCCTCCCCCCTCAAGGTCCTGCTCCCTGAGGTGTGTCTCAAATGAACCCACTCCCCTTGGCTGAGTCTGTCGAGGTAGCTGTCGACTCTGGTGCTACTTGGGGGGGTGCTGCAAGAGGTGTTGCGTCTGGGGGTGGTGAGCCTAACGTGCGGAGCTTGTGGGTGCTGAGCTTGGGGTTGCTGAGTCTGAGGGTGAGGAGCCTGGAGGTGCTGAGCCTGAGCGTGCGGAGCCTGGAGGTGCTGAGCCTGAGTGTGAGGATTCTGGGGGTGCTGAGCCTGAGGGTGCGGAGCCTGGGGGTTCTCAGTTTGGAGGTGCTGAGCCTAGCAGTACTGTGTCTGCTGGAGGTCCTATAGGTGCCTCGTCACGGCAGGAGCCTCTCCCTACACTGCAACTACACGAGTGGTTTGCTCGGCGCACACGTCTTCGAAGTGGAGCTGCTGGAGCAGGGAGTCCTGCCGCTGGAGGCACTGGAGCTGGAGGTGCTGGTGCTGCTGGGGCTGGAGATGCTAGGCGGTCTTGCTGAAGCTGGAGGTACCGGAGGTGCTGGAGCTGCTGGTTATGGAGGTGCTCGTGCTGGAGGTACTAGAGCTGCTGGAGCTGGTGCTGCTGGTGTTGGCGAACCTGCTGGAGCTCAAGGTACCGGAGGTGCTGGAGCTGCTGGTCCCGAAGGTGCTCGTGCTGGAGCTACTGGAGCTGCCGGAGCTGGTCGTGCTCCTGTTGCTGGATGTGCTAGAGGTACTGGAGGTCCTGGAACTGCTGGAGCTGGTGGTGTTGCATGAACTGGAGCTGGAGACTTTGGAGCTGGAGGTGCTGGCGCTAGGGGTGCTGGAGCTGTCGGTACGGTGCTGGAGGCAATGTGCGGCCGCGACCGTACTTCGTTCCACTCCTTTGCCAAGTTCTTGGTCTCCCGTCTTCTACTGGCCTTACTTCACCTCTACTGGGTCCACCGCCTGACCAGTCGTAGCCACAGTTACCGCTAGCCTCCTCCGTGCCTCCTTCTTCTCCTTACACTAAGCGGACAGACTCTCTTACAGAGCGCCGTGAGCCTGTGTCTCACTCTGCCTTGCCTGTTCGCGCTGGTCGCACTAGTCGTCGTGTCCCGCGTCCGCGTCTTCCTCCTGTCCCCGGCACTCACCTGATGACACTTCGTCCTTCCTCTGTTCCACTGCGAGTTCCCCTGCCGTCTCCTCCTGCGTCCTCCCTTCCTGACGGTCCGGACCCTGAGTCTGGCTTAGTTCGTGCTGCCAGTCCTACTCTCACACGTCTTCTTGCCACTGTAGCCACTGACCCTTCATTTGAGTCCTCTGCTGCGTCTGCCTTAGTTGCTGAGCTTGTTGACTTTGCTGCCACATGTCGTCTTGACTACGCCGCTAGTCTTGTTGCAGAGTCTGAGTCTGACTGTCCTCCGTCCGTCGAGGGTGAGTGTGCTCTTGGCACGGACGTCCTTAAGAACAAGCAAGAGGACTTTGAGGGTGTTGCAGCTGTTGTACCTCATCTCGTGTCCATGCTGCTTGCACCTGAGGGAGACCCGGATGCACCAGACATCCCGACCCCGCGCTCTTACGCAGAGGCGATTTCAGGTCCCTACTCACGGGCAGACAGCCATGGACGGCATTCTGGAAGTCCACAGGCACCTAAGTTGATGCAATCCCCCCTCCTGGTGCAAACATAGTCGATGGCATGTGGATTTTCACGGTGAAGCAGCCGTCGGGTTCTCTGCCTACCTTCAAGGCTCGTTACGTTGCACGAGGCTCTAGTCAGCGACAAGGAGTTCACTTCTTCCAAACCTTCTCCCCTACCCCAAAGATGACCACTCTTCGGGTGCTGCTGCACGTCACCGCTCAGCGTGATTACGAGCTTGACTCTCTTAACTTCAGCACAACTTTCTTACAGGACAGCCTGCACGAGAAGATCTGGCTCCGCCGCCCACCTGGCTTCACTGGGTCGTTTCCTGCAAGTACCTAGTGGATCCTCTGGCTGTGAGTCTACGGTCTCCGCCAGGCGCCTCGCGAGTGGCACGACACAGCGAGGACGACGCTTGCGCCTCTTGGGTTTGCTCCTTCGACTGCTGACCCGTCGTTGTTTCTGCGCCGACACTTTGCTGCTGCCGTTTTACATCCTCGTGTACGTCGACAACTTGGTTTTTGCCACTGCTAACACTAAAGCACTGGCCCTAGTGAAGTCAGAGCTGCAAAAGAGACATGCGTGCGGATCATCCAGGACAGAGCACGGCGCACCATCACCTTGACTCAGTCACACATGGTGCACCAGGTCCTTCAGCGCTTCCGCTTCCAGTACTCCTCGCCACAATCCACTCCTCTGCCTACCGGTCACTCGCTCTCAGCTCCACCTTCGGACGAGTCAGTAGAGCCGAGTGGCCCATATCCAGAGCTTGTGGGCTGCCTCATGAACCTGATGACCTGCACTCGACCTGACCTTGCCTACCCTCTTAGCATCCTGGCACGCTACGTTGCGCCCGGGAGACACCGACCCGAGCACAGGGAGGCCACTAAGAGGGTGTTGCGCTACTTGTGCAGTACGTTGGGCATGGGGCTTATGCTTGGAGGACGGGGTCGAGATGTTCTCACTGACCACGCAGACGCTTCTTGGGTTGACGACTTAGGTACGCAGCGGTCGTTACAGGGTTACACTTTCAGCCTTGGCTCCATTTCTGTTTATTGGCGGTCTACCCGTTTGTCTTCTATTCTCAGTTCCAGTTGTGAGGCTGAGATCTACGCAGGGGCCATGGCTGCACAGGTGTTACGCTGGCTCACCTACCTGCTAACTGAAAAGGAGAGCGGCCTAGTTCTCCTCCAATCCTGTACGTAGACAATAAGGTCTTCATTGCCTTGTGTCAAGAGTACAGACTGGAGCACAGGACGAAGCACATCGCTCTGGGTTACTTCCTTGCTCGAGAGTTGCAGCAGCGTGGTCAGCTTCGTCTTGCTTACGTGGCCACTCAGGCCATCACTGCTGATATATTCCCCAAGGCACTTCAGCTTGGTAATCACCAGCGTTTTTGTATTGTTTTAGGCCTTGTGCCTACTTTGCCTCCCTTGCTCACTTCGTAACTTTGCTTGTACTGTGATCTATATACTTGTATCTGCATGCCTACACTTACTAGGTTCTGATCACTCTACTGCTTGTTCCCATTTATATCACTCTGCATGTGAAGTGGCCTTGTGGCCATTTGCTTGTGCTCAGAGTGTGTGGTGACTTTGTGATCCACCCTGAGCTTGCTTTGCTTTTCTTGACTGGTCTTTTGACCCCTTGTTCTCCCCCACTTTGCCTATGGGGGTGTGTCAAACTATTATAATGTGTAGGTTGTGTAGGCTGTAGTGGGGTAGCCTATAAGGGGTACAACCCAATCAGGGTTAGTACTTGTACCAACTTCCTATGTCTAGATTCTGAGATGTTGCGTATCGCACCTCAGCGCGACTAGGAGTTTCACTCCTTGGACTTCTTGACAGGGTCCCTACAGGGGAGCTTGCATGAGCAGATCTTGCTAAGTTGTCCGCCTGGCTTCACTGCATCTTTCCCTCATGGGACCCAGTCGCAGTTGCGTCGACCGGTCTACAGCCGGCCTTGCATGAGCAGATCTTGCTAAGTTGTCCACTCAGGCTCCCGGTGAGTGGCACGACACACTTCGCACGACTCTTGCAGTGCTTGAATGCTTTCCATTGTTTGCTGATCCGTCAATCTTCGTCCTCTGTGGCTCGATCCCAATCTTTGTTCTGGTTTATGTTGGCGACCTGGTCTTTACCACTCCTGATAGACGCGCATTGGCACACTTGTAAAGGAGACACACTTGCACTGACCTTGAAGAACTGCAAAGCTACCTTGGCCTGCAGATCACGAGGGACAGGGCAGCTCGCACCATTACGCTAACGCAATTGCATATGGTCGAGCAGATCCTCACGCGGTTCCGCTTCCCGTTTTTCAAGGTACAACTCACACCTCTTGCTGTGAATCATA